GAAAACAATGGGTACCTGAACTCCTATTGTGTTATTATAGGACTCCTCCAGGTAACTTATGGACATTCAAATGGCAATGTTTTAAGTAAGATATATGCCTCATACTATTCTTCTATATGTAAAATTATCATACAGTTTTCGGCCCTAACGGGCCTCAAACAGTCTGATAATTTTACATATATATAGAGCAGTATTCGACATATATCCATTACTTATAAATGCATCTCTATATTGTTTCATTTTCATAATCAATACATATCTAATTAAAAAGTAAAATTCGAATGAGTGTCATAATGTACACTTCAGAAAATGATTGTTTTCTTCAATTCAGGTTCTAGTACAAGGTTTTACCTCCCTACACAAAGCCAGGGCTCCAAACAATTGGTGCCCCCCCCCCCCGCTATACTGGGTCCAGTAAATTTTGGATTTGGGCTTCTGATTCGCAGAAAGCAAGACCTTGGAACCAGTGATGCATATATTTCAGTCACAATTTGCCCCCCCCCCTTCCCTTCAGCAACCTCCTTCAGTTTGCATTGTATTATTTTATTTTTGTAATTGTTGAAATGTTAAGAAATGTCATCAATAAAATATGAGAAGTCTTGGAACTGCTACCCATAATATTGTTTGTTTTTTAAATGAGGATAAATAATTGGTCAGATTTTTTAAATTCGGTCACTTAGAGACCACAGATTAAAAAAAATCAGAGTGCATTTGGAGATGTCTTGTGACAGATAATGTACAGGTGAACTATCAAATACCTATGTTTTCTTTCAAAAACTATAATCAAAGTTAATTTTTCTGTGACTGACCTGTAGTCAAATGAGTTGTAATATTTCTTTACTTTCGTGAAAGTGGCTGATGGTTATACATGATGAATCCATCGTTTTATCAATTTGATCTAGTTGTATTTTATGAAATAAATCTGGCATTTTAAAAGTCAGTATTTGCTATTGATAAGTTATTTAATCTTTTCATAAAGAAGTGTAAACATCTGACAGGTAGATAAAACAGGTGTGTCACGTGATTAGCGCCCATACACAGGACAGCCACCATTGCTGGGGCCCGTTTCATAAAACGTCCTGAGCCCAGAAGTAACGCTATGCCAGTGTAAGTCGGGACTAGCACGAAGATTTGCATTTCTTGTTGTGGAATACTATACATTACATCGTGAAAAACTATACATTGCATTCATTTGACTTATATGTTACTTTAATATAAGTACATCAATTCCATTATCAATAAATATCAATAAAGATGCGCACATGGCATTATTTTGATTCGTATCACTGAAAAAACATAAGTTTAAAAATCTGGCAAACTGTCTTAATGAGTTTTCATTTAAGTGTTTGAATTACTCATGAAATAATATAATTTGAGTAAAAAAATCAAAGTTTGATGCCCCCTTAATCGCAGATTCAGGAGTACATGTACAGTAAAACTCCTTTAGTACGAACACGGATATAGCGAATTCACGGATACAGCGAAGTTGTTATAACGATCTCTGATATAACGAATTTAAGGATATAGCAAACTGATTTCGAGTCCCGTTGAGGTTAAATTTAATGAAATTTACATCTTTTATAACGAACTTTCAAAGATATCAAAGTTTGATAAATTGAACTGACTTTATTTTCTTTTAGCATTTGAATATCAAATATCAATTCATAATAAAACCTTAGTTATCGAAGGTATGTTTTATAATTTTTGCTTCTCTAACATATTCATTGGCGTCGGAAGCAAATTAAAAGTGGGGGGGGGGCTAAGTGTAAGAAAATTTTTTTAGACCTCCCCAAAAAAACCTGACAAGCAAAAAAAAAAAAAAAGGAAGTGTCCATTGTCCAAACACGAAAATCCTATTTCGTGTGTGTGGGGGGGGGGGAGGTTAGTTCGAACTTCGGTACCAAAAATTTTTTTCCGAACACCACCACTTTCCCCATTTTTAACCCATACTAAGACGTATCTGTAGAAAGTGTGGGGGGGGGGGGGGGGGGGGAAACCACCCAAGTAGTGTGAAATTTATTTAGAAAGTATATATTTGGAAAAAAATGGGGGCTAAGCTCCCCTAGCCCCCCCCCCCCCCCGGTTCCGACGCCTATGATATTTGGTAGAAACAGTTGAAGGAAAACATGCATATTGCGAATTCGTTATAATGGTTATACGAATTCGTTATACGGATATAACGAATTACGGATATAGCGAATTAAATTCACAGTTCCCCAGGACTTCGCTATAACCGAGTTTTACTGTAAATTTTTTTGCCCTGTCCGTCCGACTGTGTGTCATTTGTCCGCAAAAACTTTACCTTGCTCATAATTTGGAGTGGGTGGGGCTATGGCTTTCATATTTTACATGACTGTACAGTTTTTTGAAAAACCCTTCCCATGGGTACCATCCTAATTTGACTTCTTGACTTTGAATTTTGACCCATTTTAAAAAAAATAACAAACTTAACCCTTTCCCAAGCTTTTGAACAGTTGATGCTAGGGCATTCATACTTCATTGTGACAAAACCTTTTAAGGGGATAAAAAATTTTTGACCTTTTGACTTTGACCTAAGAAAATGACTAAATTTTTAAAAAAAAACGTAAACCTTGGTCATAACTTTTTGAACAGCTAGAATTGGTTTTTCCAAAGGCATGTTTTTTTGAAAAGATCTTTCTTTGGAACTTAAAATTTTGACCTGTTGACCTAGATTTAAAGATTTTGAACAACAACTTTTAAACAAGAGGCCCATGGGCCTTATAGGTCACCTGAGCATCATGCAAGAACTTTCAAATGATTGAATTTGGTTCACGTTTTAAGCTAGATGCTATGGCATTCAAAATTTAGAAAGAGGCACCATTGCTCTTCATAACTTTACACTTAGCAATTGCTTAGTTTGTTTACTTAATATGGATAAGCAGGGTAGGGGAAAAAAAAAGATGTCAACTAATCAGTAATATTCAGCAATAATCGGGAGTGCCCACCACACATAAACCCCCTGACCCTAGGTCTACACATTGCACTTTTTTTGAAAATGCACCTTGCTTATCAAAAATGTTTGTTTTTTCAAAGGGCAATTTCAAACCATTCATTTTTCAGTATATAAGTAAACCCCCCCCCCATTTTGGTATCCTACCCAGGGGGCCCTTAAATTCACAATTCTGGAAGAGACCCCTCCCATCATAAATTGTTAAAGATATTTGCTTTTACCCAGGGGTAAGAAAAAGACTTTCATAGATGTAATGTATTTTCACCATATAATCATTATAGAGCCACATCCAAAACCATAACCCTGACCCTGGGGCCATAAAATTCACAATTTTGGTAGAAGCATTCTTGCTCATCATAACTATGTCCTGAATTAGATTATATAATCCAGGAGCAGAGAAGAAGATTTTCAAAGATTTAATGCATTTTCACTATATACTTATTTACCCCCACCTTAGCATTAGAACTCCTGACCCCAGGGCCATGAATTTTACAATTTTGGTAGAGGCACTCTTGCTCATCATAACTATGAACTTAATTAGTTCATTCAATACTCAGGAACAGAGAAGAAGATTTTCAAAGATTTTATGCATTTTCTCTATATAATCAATAAGCCCCGCCCTAACACCAGAACCCCAGACCCTGGGGCCCTGAATTTCACAATTTTGGGAGGGCCTCTTGCTCATCATAACTATGTACTTAGTTAGTTTATTTAATACCTAGAGAGAGAAGGTTTTAAAATTTTTTAAAAAAATTTTAAAGCATTTTCACTATTAATCAATAGAGCCCCGCCCTAACACCATAACCCCTGCCCCTGGGGGATGAATTTTACAATTTTGGTAGAGGACACTTGCTATCATAACTATGAACTTTATTAGTTTATTCAAATTAGGAACAAAGAAAAAGATTTTCAAAGATTTAATGCAACGGGGTCATAATTCCGCGGAATCTCTATTTCTCTTTAGTCCGTGGATAGAAAATTACATGGATTTCTTAAACTCTCACTGTACTCCTTACAAGTATTTTGAGTATTATGGAGAATTTGTGACCGCGTACATAGCGTAAATAATTACCACACGGAAAAAATACTTCTGTAGTTTGTTTTATCCTACACTCAACTCCCGGCCTTCGCATGTTAGTGTCCCCAACAACATTAAAACCTGTTTATGCACTGAATAACTTCTTTGAGGACCAGAGCATAATTGCAGTTCCTTTAGGCCAGGACAAATTCCTAGGGCAAAGCAATAGTTCTAGTGCAAACTTCCACAATGATACATTTCTTAATGTTTTATTATATCATCTAAGGAATGATTTTTGTGCATTGTTGGTGTGTAAATCAAAAACACAAGTTATTTAGACATAATAGTTCATAGAGGGCTAGAGCTTCATGAAAAATATGCCTACGTGCAAGTCTGTTTGATTTACATGATACCAATTATTTACACTAGACTTTAAAAGCATACATGCACTAAAAACATAATATTTGAATTTCGTGCTGTTCCACACCGTTACATTTTCATTAACTTCACTGTAGCTTATTCTGACGTTACTTTAAAGCGAGTTTTGCCTGCATATTTCTACGATACTGACACTGAAATCAATTTCATTATTCAATTTGGCTTTTTGTATAAACACGGCAAATGTAAAATTACAAAATTCGAAGCTGGCATTAGCTCATTAGACTATCACAGGTAAAATTGTGGAGATTAATACAGGAATTAGTCTATACACATTAATTTGCAAGGAATTATTTACATGTAATATTAAATAGGTATTATAAAAAAAATAACTATTCTAAAAACACATCTAAAAATCAAAACAAAAAATAAGTATATGCTCGAAAACGTTTATTAGTATAACGTTATCTGACCAGTAAAATTGAAATTTTAAAGTACAAAACATGAATCCTTACAAAGGTACCCAGCTTGTGATATTCTCTGTACAAGTTTAAACTGTGTTCTGTCACATATTGTCAGCCCATATATATCTATATAAAACTTTTATTATATTCAGAGCCACAAGAGCTAGTTATGGACCCCCTTACCAGTGCTCAGGATTTGATGCGATGTGACCTGTGTGAGACTTCTATAGTGCAGATGCACTGTGATACGTGCTTTGTCCAGTTATGTAAGGCCTGTGTGGGAGAACATATCTCAACTGATGAATCGAAGAATCACAAAGTTGTTAAATTTCAGTGTAGGAATTCCACCCCTCTCTTCCCTCCTTGTGCATCTCATGGAAAAAAACAATGTGAGATGTACTGTAGACATTGTGATGTCCCGGTCTGTCACACTTGCTTGGGTTCTGGTAAACATCTCAGTCATAAGTTATCGAAAATCGTAGAGGTTCTGGGTGAAAAGAAAGACTTGATAAGGAAAGAACAAAATGAATTAAATGAAACAATTTATCCCACCTACCAGGACATAGTGGTTGATGTGCAAAAGACAATGAGTCAGTTAGAGAAGGAATATGGAGATCTCTCAACAGCCATAGCAAAACATGGAGAGGAATGGCACAGAGAAATTGACCAACTTGTCAGGAAACTTACTACCCAACTTGATGAAATGAAAACCTCGCAGTTACAAACTTTACAGACACAGCTTGATGAAATCAACAAGAATCTTGCTGACATTACAGATGAAATTAATACCCTAGGTATTGCTGTAGACTCTAATGACTTTTCAAAACTATGCAGTGTAAAATCACGTGGAGATCAATATAAAAATATTCCCAAAAAGATTTTGCCCTCCGTCCCCAAGTTCACTCCAGAGACAATCCAAATGGAAGAACTACATAAACTATTTGGGGCTTTAATATCAGATTTCGATCAATCCGATGAGCATAGATACAGTATAAAGAAAACACAAAAAGTTCACGACGTCTTCTTTTTTTGATCAAATACCGCCGGAAACTAGATGTGTACCACCAGTTAAAAAGCTACTTGAGAATCCAAAGTTTACTTCAAACGGTATTACCTTTTCAGGCTGCCCTCTAAATCTTGCCGGTTTGAAAAATGAAACCTTTTGGGTATGTGGAGATGGCAGTACCATGGCACTCTATAGTAGCAATCAGCTCTCTCTACGAGACAGTTTCCATCAGGAGCCTCCAATCAAGAGAATCACTACAAAGTCAGGAAAAAGGCCAGCAGACATAACTGTTTCAAGAAGAGGAGGACTTATTTACACTGATTACAAAAATAGAACTGTGAACATCGTGAAGAATGAAAACGTGAAGGAGCTGATCGAACTAAAGAACTGGAGACCCCAAGGTGTGTGTAGTACTTTCTCTGGTGACCTGTTAATCACTATGGAAAGAGATGACGACAAACAATCACAAGTTTTCCGTTACTCTGGCTCCACAATGAAACAATCCATTCAGTTTGATAATGAAGGTAATCGTCTATATTCATCTGATGGATCTCATAAATACGTATGTGAAAACAATAACCTCGATATTTGTGTAGCTGACACTGGTGGTCAAGCAGTAGTGGTGGTCAATCACGAGGGTATACTGAGATTCAGGTACACAATGTGAAACAATTTTATTTTTCCTTATGTGTTTTCTAGTTTACCTATCTAATGTTTAAAATCATCTTTAATGAAAATGTAACCAAAATTCCATTTGATTTGGCCTCATTATTCATTATAGTGATTGAAGCTGTAATGACGATACCCCCAAAAGTCGAACTTGAAATTTCTCATTAAAGGACATCCGAAACAGTTCATAACACTAACATTTTACTTTTTAAACATAAAGATTGGAATGAAAGAATGTCAATTTAATCTTGGTAAAAAGATGTTTCCTTTCGCTTAACAGAAAAATGAACGCCACTTGATAAATTTGTTACACGCTTATCGTACTTCATTTTGTGTTTTTATTAAACTTGGATCCACTGCCATTGTGACCCAACCCTATCCCTGGGGGTTATGTTTTGAACAAATTAGAATCTACAGTATCTGAGGATGCTTCCATAAAATATCACTAATCATGGCTTTACAGTACTTGAGAAGAATTTTTTTAAAGATTTTCCTATATATTCCTATGTAGAAATTTGATCGGCCATTGTGGCCCCACCCTACCCCCAGGGACCATGATTTGAACACACTTGAATGTACACTATCTGAAGATGATTCAATATGAGTTTCATCTTTCCTGGCCAAGAGGTTCTTGAGAAGACGTTTTTAATAGATTTTTCCTATATATTCGTATGTAAAACTTTGATTGGCCATTATGACTCCATCCTACCCCTGGGGGTCATGATTTGAACAAACTTGAATGTACACTGTCTGAGGATGATTCAACATGAGTTTCATCTTTCCTAACCCAGTGGTTCTTAGAAAAAAGATTTTTTTTTAAAATGCCCCCTTGTAAGAGGGCATGGCCCTTCATTCTAACAAACTTAAATTCCCTTTACCCAAGGAGCCTTTGTAGAAAGTTTGGTTGAAAATTGGTCCAGTGGTTCTTGAGAAGAAGATGAAAATGTGAAAAGATTACGACGACGACGACAGACAACGAACAAATTTTGATCAGAAAAGCTCACTCGAACCTTCGGCTTAGGTGAGCTAAAAAGTGCTTAAATCAGTGAAAAAAATTCTTGTCGATCAACCGTCTACTCGCAAATTATTGTTCTCGCGATTAGACGTAAAAGAGTCATTCCGCGATAAAAAGTATTCGCGAAAAATAAGGAAACTGCAGTAGAACAGAGAACACCGCTGACCGGTCATAATGACAGATTGCATTTGCAATCAAGGTTGTTGAATCATCCCTAGAATTTGCTTAAAATTGACTTTAAACAAGATTGGTGATACCCCTTTTATCAATTATCATTTATTTAAATGTCACTTGTCTGATCTGTTTACAAATGGTTCGCCGAGATGCTCTCGTGTCTTGAGTCAACTAATATCATTCCAATAGCAGCGTGTTACTTTGTTGAATGGAGCGAGTTTTACATGTTGATTACAATATTTCTTATCGATTGGATGTTTGATTTCAATGAAAAGAGTACGACTTTCATATGAACAGAGAAGGCAACAATGGCTTTGACTGACCACGTGTTGTTGCCTTTTACAAATGCCGTCCTTGGAAACAAACTTTATATGCGATTGGTCAGGATTATTTGTGTATTGCTGGATATTCTCTATTTCATATACGATGTAGTATTAATTTCATTGAAATCAAACATCCAATCGATGCGCAATGCGATGAACAACATGTGAACATTTTGCACGCTTGATCCAACAAAGTGACACGCTGTTATAGGAAGGATACGAACATGAACAAGAGAATCAAAATATAGACAAAATTGCTTAAGTTATAGTTATCAACGTATTACTAAATACATTTTTAATGCAGATATATTCTTGTGCTCCATTGACTCTGTATTTATCTCTCTCCTGTGAAATATTTCATATAATGCAACTTGAATTTGCATCCCATGCATTCCTAGCATTCCTCTTTCAGCAGGAATATTTTTGAATGTCTTTACAGGTGTTTGAATGTCGAAATCTAACCCCTGGCTTAACAATTAGTGTAGTCAAAGATGGAAAAGTCCTTATGGCAAAGGGTTATGGAGTGGCAGACATCACAACTAAAAGACCAGTGACCAATCAAACTCTGTTTGAAATAGCCTCGATGTCAAAAGCATTTGGTGCAACACTTCTAATGAAGCAGATTGGAAGAAGTGGAAAGTGCGTATAAATTTGTGATGGACAATCAGGAAAAATTAAGAAAGAACTAAATATTGAGTAAAAATAATTTTTAGCAAATTAAAATTATATTAAGTTTGTGAACTTTCTTTACTTGACTCGTAAGCGTGACAATTTCTTTAAAATGACCTTAATAACATTCATGGTCATTTATTTCAGCTTGAGCGCTCAGTCCAAAATCAAAGAACTTTTAGGTCCAACATTCACCTTTGCCGACGCTGAGAGGAACAGACTAGCAGACGTCAATGACATATTGTCGCAACAACTTGGAATCCCTGGTCATTACCTGATGAAGCTGGATCTCAATCTCACGAGAACTAATTTACTGACGTAAGGATTATTCCAATTCAACTTCACTACACGTACACGCTCTCTGCACTTGTTATGTAATTTTTTTTTTCCTGCATTCTATACCTTCATTACAAGAACTAAATGTAAAGACTTTTTTCAAGTTACGTTTTACAAGTTTATCTGCTTATTTTTATCATAGTCTTTCCGAAACGGCAATGAAAACCTCAAGGTTACTGTCACAGGATAAGATTACTATTTAAAAAAAAAAAGATTACTATTTTCCTACAAATAGCATCTTTCATGAATTATATTCAGTCTCTTATATATATATATCACTAATGAAAAACAAATATTCGCCTTTGACCTTTTTCTTATTTGCACTACTCCTTTGTTACCCGTCTAAAATATTAATAGAATAGGGTATGAAATTTTTTGTATGGATGTAAAAATGTTTTTTTTTTAATTTCAGGCGATTTAAGTACTTGAATGGGACCAAACCTTTACGACAGGGTTTCCTTTACAGCGGAATGAATTATGCCCTCGCTATGATCATATCCGAACATTTGGGCGGGAAGACATGGGAAGAGTTGATAAAAAAGGAGATTTTTGATCCATTAGGAATGTCTTCATCGACGGTAATGTCTATTATACCAGACTTAAGTAATGCAGCGAGGGGATATGTTTACACGGAAAACTTCACTCTTGTTCCCGTCGAGTTTGCTTTGTCTCGGTAAGTTTTATTAAATGGAATCCGTATTCTACTATTGGCAATAAAATCTTCGCACAGCTCACATATATTCTTCGTGATACTTGCCGAGATAATAAAATTATACAAGAGGCCCATGGGCCTTATAGGTCACCTGAGCATTATGCAACAACTTTCCAGTGATTGAATTTAATTCATGTTTTAAGTCAGATGCTATGACATTCACAATTTTGATAGAGGCACCATTGATCATTATAACTATACACTTAGCAGTTGCTTAGTTTGGTTACTTAATACCCAAAGGCAGGGTAGAGGAGCAAAAAATGCATGTCAAGTAATCAGTAGTGCCCCTTTCACACATGAACCCCTGACCCTTAGGCCTAGATCCAAACATTGCATAATTTTTAAAAAGGCATCCTTGCTTTTCAAAAATATTTGATTAATACCAAGGAGCAGACTTCAAACAATTCATTCATTTTTAGTGTATGTACCCCCCTGTCTATGGTACCCCTGACCCAGGGGCCTTGAAATTCACAATTCTGGAAGATTAGGACCCTTGCTCATCATAACTATATAGGTATGTTCACCTGCTTAATACCTAGAAAGGAAAATTTTCAAAGAATTTATAAGAATTTCATTATAAAATCAATAGAGCCCCGCCCTAACACCGGAAACGCGACCCTGGGGCCATAAAATTCACAATTTTGGTTGAGGCACTCTTGCTCATCATAACTATGCACTTAGTTAGTTTATTTAATACCTAGGAGCAGAGAAAAAAAAATCAAAGGTTCCATGTATTTTCACAATATAATCAATAGAGTACCGCCATAACACCAGAACCTCTGACCCTGGGCCCATAAAATTCTCAATTTTGGTAGAGGCACTCTTACTCATCATAGCTATGTACTTTGTTATTTTATTTAATACCTAGGGCAGAGAAAGAAAATTTTTAAAGAATTCATGTATTTTCACTATATAATCAACAGAGGCCCGGCCCTAACACCAGAACCGCTGACCCTGGGGCCATAAAATTCACAGTTTTGGTAAAGGCGCTCTTGCTCATCATAACTATGCACTTAGTTAGTTCATTTAATACCTAGGAACAAAGAAGAAGATTTTCAAAGAATTCATGTATTTTCACTATATAATCAATATAGGCCCCGCCCTAACACCAGAACCGCTGACCCTGGGGCCATTAAATTCACAATTTTGGTAGAGGTGCTCTTGCTCATCATAACTATGCACTTACTTAGTTTATTTAATACCTAGGAACAAAGAAGAAAATTTTCAAAGAATTCGTGTATTTTCACTATATAATCTATAGAGTCCCACCCTAACACCAGAACCGCTGACCCTGGGGCCATGAAATTCACAATTTTGGTAGAGGCACTATTGCTCATCATAACTATGCACTTAGTTGGTTTATTTAATACCCAGGAGCAGAGAAGAAGATTTTCAAAGAAATAATGCATTTTCCCTATATACTTATTTAGCCCCGCCCTAGCACTAGAACCCCTGACCCCAGGGCCATGAATTTCACAATTTTGGTAGAGGACTCAATGCTGATTACAATTATGGTAACAGTATGACTGCTTGATGTCCAGGAGTAAAAATTTTCAAAGATTGCACTAATTTTAGTGGTTTTGGCCCCACCCCTCAGGCCCCAGGGGGGCAGGGATCATGAAATTCACAATTTTTGTTTCCCTTCACCCATAGATGCTTTGTGCCAAATTTGGTTGAAATTGGTTCAGTGGTTGCAGAGAAGAAGATGAAAATGTTCAATTGTTAACGCACGACACACAACGCACAACGCACTGACGCACTACGACGGACGAAAACAGATGGCAATAGGTCACCTGAGTTTACTCAGGTGACCTAAAAAAGTCCATGTTTTGCTGTGGCCGGGAAACCCAAAATATGTGTCGGATCAAAAAGTAAAATAGGAGGTGCACAATGGCAATATGTAATAAAGATTCTGTGAAAGTTTCCTCAAATTTCATTCAGTGGTATGAGAGGAGTTTCGGATAAGAGATGGGTACCCCAAAGCGTAACAGACGGACGGACGGACGGACGGAAATACCGATTACTATATACCCTGCCGCTTTTCAAGCGGGGGTATAACTAGAGGTACTGTGAGCAATGAGCTCACTAAATGATACCCCCCCCCCCCGCCTCCCATAATATCCATGTTTTGCTTAATGTGTAAAGAGGAAAAACTCGTCGAATATCAAATGTTATTCCAGAAGACTCTATGTGCGACGTCATAGGTAAGAAGATAATGGCAATGTCTATCTTTTGCTATTGCCTGGGAAACCTAAAATACGTGTCGAATAAAAAAATAAAATAGGACATGCACAATGTACCCCCCGCCTCCATATAGTTGTAATGGCAAAGTCCATGTTTTGCTGTGGCCGGGAAACCCAAAATATGTGTCGTATCAAAAAGTAAAATAGGTGGTGCACAATGGCATTATGTAATAAAGATTCTGTGAAAGTTTCATCAAATTTCATTCAGTGATATGAGAGGAGTTGCGGATAAGAGATAGGTACCCCAAAGCGTAACAGACGAACAGACGGACGGACGTACAGACGGACGGAATTAACGATCACAATATACCCTCCTGCTTTTCAAGGGGGGTATAATAAGTAATCAGTAAATAAATAAAAATAATAAGTAATAAGTAAATAAGCCAATGTCGAAATATGTTTGACTTTTACCAAATATTTTGTGTACTTATAAGTGTATGCCCTTGCAAAACTACGATTTAATGAGGCATCTCGATGTAAAATATACGTAACTGTACATAAAAATAAGACATCATTAATAAAATACATTCTCTTGCTAGTTAATTAAAAATTGCTGTAAACAGAGGATATGCATTGGTATTTATCAACTATTTAAAATCTGTAAATAATATTCCGTTTAATAATAAAATGCATTTTTCATTGTTAAAAAATTCCTCAATCTGCCTATCACAGCACATGAAATACGTCATTTTTACCAATATGACGTCATGTTTACAAGTTCATCGTGATCAGTGCTTTGTTTAAAACCAGCTACATGGGATTTAACAAGGAACTTTTTTTAATGCATTGATAAGTTATACTGTTGTTTATTTTGCTAATACAGTTATAAGTTGCAAATTATTTCATTTTCAGGTATTATGAGAAATACATGAAAGTCATAATTTTGTGTGACGTCACAGTATACTTTTCCCGTATAAATTAGGCCCCGCCCCCTTTTTCAAGCCTTAACAATGCTGCGTAGGCACTGTTTTATCTTTATGCAAAAGTTAATAATAGTTTACGTTTATCAACAGTTAATGTAATTAATCAAACTTAAATTTTCTTTAAAAAGTCTAAATTTCACGAGAAATGATTTATATGCTTCCTTTACATGCCTGCACGTTCTATTAAGTATTAAGGTCGACTAAAAGTGTGTTTTTGACCTAATGATAACGTGAAATTTAATAAATAGAAATCTTTCCTTAATTAAAATTATTTTGTATAATTCCTTCATAAAGGAGAAAAAAGGGGGAGGGGGTTAACGGAATAAATCGAATCAAGAAGGAAAGATTTAAGCAGTGTATACTTGATTTCAGCTAAATAGTTTGATATTCAGATGATCGTCAGTGTTTTCAAACCTTTGTCTTAGTGCTGATACCTCAATATTTATTTAAGACACAAGGGTCCATAAATTTAAAGTAAATTATTTTCTCGTTAATTTTATCATTCAAGTATACTTCTTTTCTTTGTTAGAATTTATACGTGCAATCGTGTAAAAAAGCAAAAAAAAGTATTATTACTAATGCCTTAAATTCAAAAGTAAATGGTAAGGAAAGAAATGTCCAAGTTTTGAAAATTTCACACGAAGACTTTGTTGTTAAGGCATTGCTCGGGGAGGCTAAAAGTACACTGGGTTAACCTCCCTACCCCACTAAGCAATCAAAATCCAGCAATTTCTACCCAATTTTCGAAAAAATTGTTGACCTCCCTAGTGCGGCTCCTTATACTAAATGGTACTCATGTATCGACAGTAGAACTTGCTAAATGATGACTTTGAAGGAGAATGTTATTCTTGTTTCATCACCATGTTTGTAAATAGCTTGCCTCATTTTAGCTTGCCTCATTTTAGAAATTATTTGTGCGTAGGTTCTACTTGCAGACATGGGCCCTATAGTCAGACGATAAAACAACAAAAGTACACAATCGAGTTTAATCCAGTTTAAATGAATTCAAGAAGCAATAATCTCTTACGAATGAATTATAATATTTAGAATTAATTTCACATGTGGATGCGACAAGAAAACATTTCTGATTCGTTAAAATTTCTTTACAAAATTTTCGTTGCTAGATTTGAAACTGACTTTAGCATTAGAACCATATTAATTCAACAGCTGAGTTTGAATTTCTGTATTCTTATTACTACAATTTAATGTGGTGCTCTCTTATTAACCTACGAGGACAAATGATGAAAAACAAAATTCAAATTGCATTATAAAAGTAACAAATTCAGCAATATTTATTTAAGTAAAACAAATAGGTAAAACAGCATAAATTTGAATTTCTTATTTAGAATTTCATATAAGTGTTGATTGAATGTTGTATAATTCTACACTGTAAAAAATAAGTGTTTTATAAATAAACACCATATTGCAACAGATAATAAACACTTCAACACGTTTAGAATTTAACCACCTCAAGAAGTGTTTAAGAAATAAACACGTTAGAATGTTTAAATTCTAAACACATATGAGGGTTAATATTCAACACTTCAAAAACACAAAATGTTTAAAGATTAAACACTGAATAAACACTTAGAGTTTACTACATAAACACCGTGAGTGTTTAAAATTTAAATATTTCATGTTTAATAAATAAATGTGTTCAACCTAAACATTTAAACATGTTTATTTGATGCAACAGATAATAATCACTTAAACATGTTCAAAGGTCAATTTTTAAACACTTCAACGTGTTTATTTTACAAAATAAATAAATACTTAAACGTGTTTATAAGTTTTCAACA